TCGTAAAAAGTGTCTCGCTCGCTTATATGTCTCGCTCGCTTATAAAGCACGTTATGGGCGAATAACACTTAATTAGTCATGTAGACCCCCGAAAGAAGTTCAACACCAAATACAAACCAATCATGGACCCCAAGGGCCCGAACTTTTACAACGACCACGTTAAACCAGCGAGGCAAGTCTCCTACAACGCCCGGAAATACGCCAGGAAATAGCAGAAACACGAGCAGCTGGGCGAGACTTAATTTTACAAAAAGGGGGGCTTAGGGTTAGCGGGGCGACAAACCCGCTGACAAACCTCGTGCCTACCTTAATGGCACCGCAAATGGCGTCTTCTGATGCCTGCCGCCGGGTGACTCTCAGAAAAACGCAGCACTGAGGTCCATAACCAAAAGTGAAAGAAGAGAACAAAAGAATAAATAAAAAAGTGGAAAGAAGATAAAAAGAATAAATAATTAAAGTGAAAGAGAATCAAAAAGTAAAAAAAAAAAAAAAAATGAAATGAAAAAGGACGAAACAGAGTAAATCACTTGAAATCTATTGAGATTTGATCGAATGTTACTCGATTGGACTTAATTAGGGGCTATTCTGTTTTAGTCTGCCGCTTTTTTGGCCATGGCGAGCGTGCGAAGATAATACAACACAGGGCACACAGCAAAGAGAAAGAAGAACGACAGGAACAAAAATGTGAAAAAAAAGAGAGGAGGCAACAAGACAGATTCTGGCCCCTCTCACCCTCGTCCCCTCTGTCAAAATCTTCCAGCGATAGGCAATTGCTGTCAAACCTCGTGCCTAATCGCAGCGCAAATGGCGTCTTTTGATGCCTGCCGCCGATTGACTCACCAAAAACGCGGCATCAATTCCGTCCAGTCCCGTCCCACTGGCAAGGCAGAAACCCACGCGCGCCCGTCCGGTCGAAAATTCCGCCATTCGGATTGAGGGGTTTTGTTATTAGCGGCTTCATCAAAGTGACGTGTCGCAGCGTCCGTCACCGGCGTCAAACGCGACCGCCGTCCGCCGTCCGCCTCAAACCCAACAACAAACGCGCCAAAACTGCCACGCAGCGGCTTATGGCTCGCACCGATTTCCGAATCTGGCACCGGCAGCGGACGCAACGATGCAGCGATGCAGCGGTCTCCGGTTCTTCATGCATCGACCGCATGGCTGCGGCTCGCTCGGAGGCTTGATTTGGTATTAGTGCGTTCAGCTGAAGGCCTCGCTCGCTAAAAGGCGGTGTTGTCGTCCTATCGCAGGCGCGCGCCAAGCGAGCAGTGCGTGGGCTCAGTGCAGGAGTCAGCCTGGACGTTGTCGTAGGGCTGTTTTGCGTCAATAGTCCTGAGGGGTAAGGGTTGATTTGGTTTAAGTTGGGCTTCTAGTAGAGCTGGGAGAAGGTCGAAAATTTAAGGTTTAAGAATCTCTAGATCCCAGCGGCTCGTTGTAATTAGAAGTCGGCAAGAAAGATCCAAGTGAAAACCAACGAGTCAACGACACAATGGCGCCTCCCTCTGTCAGGCATCGCAGTCATCGCTCCTGGCAGCCTTCGCCTGCCCTCACATCCTGGACAATCCAAGAAGAACCCTCAAATCGGGTATCATGGACACCACCCCACGTGCAAACCAGGACGGCCCGGCCGAAACGGCTTCGAAAGAGCGAGTGCCGGGAGATTCCTGGCCCTGACGGTCTGCCTAGCATCCAAATCCACGGCTCAGGATGCCGTTGCGCGCAGGCCGGGAACAATGAGCCGTCGAGGGAGCAGTCACAAGACAGCATTCTCGCGGCCCAGATCTCGGCTCTTACGAAGTCGGTGCTCTCATCTCGAATCGCCGAGTCCGTGCCTAGCCCAGCACGGCCATCCCCCAATAGACTTCGACGTTCTCGGTCATTGTCAACATCCCGACTACCCAACCTCTCACGAATCTTTTCGCCGTTATCTCCACCACCATCACCAAAATTATCGTCCTCACCAACCTCTTCCACAAACTCACCAACTTCATCAACTCCCCCAAGCTCGCCAAGCTCTCCAAGATCCCCATCACCCCCCACAACCACCACTGCCCCATCCCTAGCCCTCCAAGCCGACCTCTGCATAGCCTGCACCTTCTTCGACATCACCAAAGTAGCCCACTACCTCCTCCCCACCATCCTCCCCTCCCTCAACCACGCCCACTCCCCTACGTCTACCTCTCCCACCTCCCTCGGAGCACCCCCGACACCCCCACCCGTCCACATCAACGCCCCCAACCACATCGGCATCACCCCGCTAATGGCCACCATCCGTTCCCCGACCGCAGGCCCCCAAACGCCCCTCGCCCAGCTCGCCATGGTGCGTTTCCTCGTCGAGGCCTGCGGGGCCGATGTCAACGCCACACGTGTGGACCCAGCCACGGGTCGCGGGGAGAGTGTGCTCAGTATGGCTGTTTTGGTCGGGGCCGTGGGGGTGGTGAGGTATCTTGTTAGGGAGGCTGGGGTGGATGTGAGGAGGGTGTTGCCCGAGGGGGGGAAGGGTAAGAGTACGAGTACCCCTGGAAGGAATGGGTATGGGTACAGTGGGTATCGGTTTCGGCCTGGGAAGGGCCAGACGGCGTTGCATGTGGCGGTGTTGGCTGATCGGGCGGAGTGTGTCGAGGTGTTGGTGAGGGAGGGCGGAGCGGATGTTGATGGGGTCGTCGAGGGTGTTTTGGGAGATGGGGATGGGGATGGTGTCGGTGGTGTTGGGGGGCTAAGGGGGTTCAAGGGTGGGAGGAAGGTGAGGAATCCCGTGTCGGCGTTGCATCTGGCTCATGGGAATTATGCTTGTACCAGGGTGTTGCTGGAGTTGGGCGCTAGGGTGAACGTGCGGGATGGATATGGTCGGACACCGTTGTATTGGGCTGCGGAGGCTGGGTGTGCGGAGGTGGTACGGTTGTTGCTTGCTGCCGGGGCAGATATGAATTTGGCTTCTTACGAAGAGGTCACGCCGTTAGGGGCAGTGGTTGCTGCGATGGAGGTTACGGGGGAAACGAGAGGGCGTATTGATGTGATGAGGTTACTCTTGCAGGGGGGTGTTACGAACAGGGGTTGATGGTTAAGCGTCTTGCATTGTTGGAAAACAATAGACTGTTCATAATTAATATGAACGACAAGAATGAAGAAATTCTAAATGTAGACGGTAGCATTGTCGCAACGTGAACGTGTGGCATTCTCGTGAGAGTGAGAACCCACAGTTTGAAGCGAGTTGCATTCCGAAACTGGCGTTCTTGCTCGATATAATGTCCCAACCCTAGCAAGTCTTGATGCCTCGGCTCCCTTGAAACATCACGTATCACGGTGTCATTACCACACACAATCAGATAACCCCCACCACCCCAGAAAGCACCCCGGACTTCTTGTGCCATCCATACAAGACCTTAACCGGTGAACAACGTCGTACAGACCCAGCCGACGAGCCAATGACAAGCCCAATCGAGGCTCGGTACCCCAGCCGGAGGGTGACATCCTTGGCACACATCACCCAGCGGCTGGTACCGAGCCAGCGAACAATCCTCAGCCTTATCTGACCGACGGACTTTGTGAGAGCCGATGGACCACTCCTGCCGCGGATGATGACATGCAGGCCGAAAAAGTTCGGGCATTCCGGAAGTGTATGTTAATAATCGTCGGAGTCAACTCCGAGGGCCGAATCGAGCTCGTGGTTGGAATCTGGGGCGGGTGTTCGGCACTTGGCGCAGAGAAGGCCGGGCACCACCCAGACTTCTTCACCGTTGGCCGCGCAGGTTGGGCACCGGACGCCTGGCACCTGGGCAATGTTAGATTGTGGCCTGCATCTTGTGCTGTGTTGGTTGTCGACGAAACTTACCGGGAGACTGAGGATGCCTTCTCCACTGTGGGGAAAGAGGGAGATGTATTCCGGGACCACCAGCCCGAGGTCGAGGCCTTCGGGGCTAAGCGGGGTTCCGAAGTTTTCCATGTTAAATACAACAGTAGGTGCTCTCGGAGAGACGGGAAAACAGTAAGCTTCAGGCGGCGTAACGGAAGGGAGAATATTTCTACACTAGAAGCAAACGATTCAGAACCACCACGTCTTGCCGGATCGTGGCTCGATTTATATACTTTTTACCCCCCATCTCGGTTCTCACACCGGTCCCTGGCACTCGTGGGCATTCCACTAGGAATCTCCGTTCCCTTAGCCAGGTACCGGTTGTCGATAGCAGGGGCGAAGAAAATGTGACCAATCTCGACGGAATTTCCAACAAAGGGTGGACCACCGGTGAATAGTGATCCGAAAATGCGCAAGAAAGAAAGGAGTCAATCCCCAAAATTACACTAACAACGTCATGCTGTGTGGAAGGATAGACGGATGGATCCCCAAGTCACATGCCGTTCTTGTCTCCAGGTTTTCTCATCTGGTGGGGGGCACGGCAGTGATGGCACCGTACAAAAGCCAGGGTGCCAGCACGACGCGCAGCATCGATGCACGATCATGACCACCCCAGCCTGCATGGAGCCTGCACGAGATTTTCACCGGTGAAATCCTGCACGCGGCAGGAGTGGTTCGGCCCGGTGGGTCGGGGCGGCATCCGAGGGAAGGTTTGCTACGAGAGGGCACCCGCGCATGCCGCTGCTTCAGTGCTCCTGCCGCTGGATGCCGCTTGGCCAGGTTGTTTGCAGCTTCCATTGCTGATGGCCTGATGCAGATGGTCCAATGGCTCGATGGCCTGATGCTGATGCACCAACGCGGTTTGCCTTTCTCGGCGAGACCGCCCATTGCCGGTTGGGACCAAGGAAAACATGCGGCACGCAGTCTGTTGATTGGCTTGGTGAGGAATTTCGGGCATGAGATGCGGGACTTTTCAGCGACTGACGGATGTGAACACACGGGCGGAAGTCAAAATGTCTAGCCTTGGATTCTTCTCGATTTTTGGAAGGAACCAATGGGCTTCCCCACCGATTCACTTCATGCACACATTCCGGATTCCGGGCGATAAGCATTCTGTCTTTTTGGCATAGCGTCCCGATGTGCTTTACCATCCTAGCTAGCCCATGGCAACCTTGACAACGCATCACGGCCGAGAAAAGGGACACCAGGACAGGGGCCGTCCACGAGTCTCAGTCTCATAGAACCATTTCGCCATCAAAGCCCCGAGCTAAGCGCCGAAAAGAGAGTGTGCAATTGAAACAAAGGCAAAGAACATCCCGGGCAGCAATATCAGCTTGGCAGCAACCTCCTGGACGATCCTATTGTTCGTTGGATCACACTTCCCGGCGATGACTCGTCGGGTCTTGGCGGGCCATTGGCTATTGTCCGGGGATTGGCATCCACCTGACGCCTTAGCACACGATCTTCCCCATCGTTGGGCATGAACGAGCCTCGTTGAGTTGCGCCAGAGGCAAATTTTCAGCTTGCTGAGAAGGATAGTGTGAATTATTAGCAAGAGGGCAACTGTCCAAGAAATTAAATAATCACAGATGTCAATATTCCGTAGCAGTACCATTCCGGGGCTGGACCGTTCGAGAAACGGAGATCAACAGAAGCACACGGTGCCCAACCAGACGGGACTAATACTTCGACGCAGCCTTGTGATTCTCCCACTCAGGATCACCACGCGGACCCCACGCAACGACTTGCCGGGGCCTTCGGAGTTTGCCCCGAACAAGCGCCAGGCCGCACCGGGGTGCCTTTCCCGAATCGGATCACCAACCACTCCCCCCCGTAGATCCGGATCCTCCCAGCGTGATGACTTGATTGCACGCAGCGGGCGGTGCCAGAGTGGGACTTCCGAGGCTGGCTTTTTCTGAGGGAGATATGTCTCCAAACTACTGGTGTTTAGCTTCTCTCTAGCTGTGTTTAGAGTTACCAGCCCAGTTAAGGTGAACCTGAGCAGCTTTGACAAGCTAACAGCCCGGCGCACTTGTGTTGCCTCGAACAGCTGGGAGCTGCAGCGTTCCATCCTCACTCATGTCACTCCTAGGCATTGGGACTTCCAACGCACGGCAGGTATCTACAGCCAGATTCTGCTCCTGAATGGGTAGATAATTACTAGCTAGCGCTCAATGATTGCTAGTCGAGCTGACAAAAAATTACCCACTTGCTTCCGACTAATCATCTTAGCAGCAGTTGACGTTTCCAGAGAAGGGATACCAACAGCCAACTCCAACGAGTCGCCACTTGCTATGACACACCGCCTGCAGGTCTAATATGGGTATATAAGCGTTCCATCTCTAATTGTTTCGGCTACCGCGGCTATCAAAATAGCTACATGTTAAAAACGCCGTTGTTGGAAACTTGGCACAGTATCCCTCCTCTTTCTCTCTAGCCGTCGAGTTCGGCCTCGAATGCAATTTGAAGCCTTTGAGCGGTGCATTGGCGTCTAGCACGCACGCTCTGGATGTCGTTTCCGGGGCTGAGTCGTCCTTTCAAGAGCCATGTGACACCAGATCTTCAAGACCACACACATTAGCGCTCTGCAGCCGGTCGATCGGCTACCAAAAAACGTACCATTGATATGCACGGTGGTCAGGCGAGAGGCATAGGGCACCTAAGCGATAGGCGGGTAGGGGTCTTGTAATATAATCGTACGATATGGGAAACTTTAAGCAGACCATATGCCATTTCAAGCACACGACTGGAGACACGACGGCTAGTTTACCATTGCAGCTGAATCCTCTCAGTCATCAACGCATCTGCATAGCCAACGAGGTTGGACCCCTGTACGTACATACCTACGCGATCAAGACACATCGACGATCAATCCTGCCCGGATTCTACATGCGGACGGTATCGCATGATTATGGCAATAGCCAAGAAATACAACTAATTGCTAATCGACAATCGACAAATACAGGCTTCATCTCGAAAATGACCTTGCGATAGTCACCTAATTCTTCCTGGTAACGCCCACTTGATTCCATGCATCCCGCACCGTCTTCGCCGCGTCCGCCCCAAACAGCTCCTCAGCCGTATCCACGGTAGCATCAGCGAACTGCACAAAGGTGCAGCTGGCGGGCACGCGCCCGGCGCTCATGGTCTTCCACCAGATCTGCCCGGCCTTCTCCCACGAGTAGCCACCGAAGGCGACCGAGGCCAGGTAGAAGGCCTTGTTGGGGATGCCGCTGTACAGGTGCACGCCGCCGTTGTCGTCGGTCGTCGGCTTGTAGTCGGACATGTTGGCTGGTTGGGGGTCCTTGCCCTGGGGGGTTGTTAATACTGTCCGGCAATCTCACCGAATCAATAGGGATAGGAGAACGGGGGACATGGACGTACAAAACGCGGGTCGTCGTAGGCGGTTCCCGGAGCCTTCATGCTGCGGAGGGCAACACCCTTGACGCCTGGGAGGAGGCAGCCTTCGCCAATGAGCCAGTCGGCCTTGTCGGCGGTCTCGTCCTCGTACTTTTGCTTGATCATGATGCCGAAGACGTCTGAGACGTGCTCGTTGAGCGCGCCGGGCTGGGCGTCGTAGTTGAGCGGGCTGGTGTGCTCCGTCACGGCGTGCTGGTCTTGTCAGTCTCCCAATCAAGGACTAGCTTACTGATATGGGTGAGTGAGTTCTCTTACCGTCAGCTCATGCCCGATGACATCGATGCAGGTGGCAAAGTTGCCAATGAAATCATCTCCATCACCAAACACCATCTGCGCAATCTCGGGGTCCCAGAAGGCGTTGCCGTAGGCCTGGCCAAAGTGCACCGAGCTGATGACATGTTGGTTCTTGTTATCAATGCTCTTCCACTTGAACTGCTCCAGGTAGAACTCCAGCACGCGCCCGACGTTGTCAAACGCAGCGTTGGCCGTCTCGTCCTTCACGGCCGCCTGCCCCTCAACGCGCAGCACATCGCCGGGCAGGGTCGACTCGTCCTCCGAGTGCTTGGCGTCGTACACGGCGCGGTAGAAACCGGACGATCCAGGGTCCTTGGGGGGCGCGTCATCACCCGTGTTGTCATCGCCGGTTTTGCCGCCGGCCTTGGTAGCAGTGACACCACCGTCCTTGGGGTCTGGTTGGTCAACATTTTCACCCTTGAGGCTCTTCTGGTACGCCGAAGTCACGCGACGGGTGCGCTCAATGTCCCCGCGGGCGCGCGCCTTGGTGTTGTCGTCGACATCGCCCGAGTCGGCGATGTGCTGCAACAGCACCTCGGGCACGATGTTGCGGTGGCCGCGGTGGATGTTAGCGGCGGCGCGGGTAGCGGGGGGTTGGCTCAGCAGCCGGAAACGCTCGGCGCGCTTGGTGGTGACGCGCTCGCGGTGGGCGAGACAGTTGCGGGCGCCTTGGCGGGCTTTGTCGTCGTTGGACTGGCTCTCGGCGATGCCCCGCAGGAGGTAAGGGGGGACGATGGAGCAGATGTGGGACTGCATTTTGGTCACTTGGTGTTTGTTTTGTTGGGGAGTATTGTATTGTTGTTGTTCAGTGTCGAATATTGACAGAGGAATATCTAGAACTTAAAAGCAATACCCCTTCCAAAAGAACAGCCTGACAACCCGACTCTTATACCTCTCTAACTCTCTTATCGTCGCCTGATCCCCTCACCAGACGGAGAGCGGGGTGACACCGTCACGCCCCTTACGTAGGTTGCATTCCCGATTGCCTGTTGCTGATCCGATGCCTCGTGGGCAATCTGGCGAAGTCCGTTGGCGTCCACACCACCAGAGCTCCCAGAAACTCCATAACCTGCTGCATCTCCAGCCCCGATCGTCCTAGTTTCTTGTCGGTCATTGGTCAGGTCTCGGAAACTTGCATCACCAAACCCGACGATGCATCGCTGAGCTTCGAGCTTCGCCCAGTTTCTGGTTTCCTGTTCAGCAAGAGAAAAGCAGTGCGGAGAAAGCCGCCCGCTCGGCTGTTTGGCGAATGCCACCGTCGGCTGAAAACTGCCTGATCTGGCCGCGTCATTCTCGCCGGCAACTGGCTCGTTAGTGGGCGCTGGCGAGCTTGTTTGGTGGTGTGCCAAGGCACCCAGCCGCAGTGGTTGCCGTCCCTGCAGATCCCCGCGCAGTGCCTTGGCAGAAAAGCATATCGACGGTCCATGTTCAGCTGTGGCGGTTTGCTTCGGAGCGATGCGACGCTAGATTGCGCTTGAATGGGGTCTCAGAGGCAACCGGTGGGATGGTGGCCAATATCACGATAACGTGCTTGGGGTAAGTTCTTGGTGGTCTTGGAGGCCGCCTGTGGTGAATGTTAGGTCACCGAGGTGGGGAATGAGATGCTTTTGAGTAAACAACCGGTGCAGGAGTAATTTACCGCAAACAAAACTTCCAAACGAACGACGATGAACTTTATTGGAAGCTTAATCATACCATTGATAGATTCATTTTATCGAGGGGAATGAAAAATATAGGAATGAAATAGCTTGACGAACCGACTACTCACGAGCGACTAACTAATCTTGAACGCCCTAGCTGTGTATTTCGTACCAAACTGATTGATCAGAGGGCCGGTGTCAGCTGCGCTGAGGCTCGGGAGTGACCGAATGGCGCAATGGATCTCAACCTTAACGTGAGTCTTCCTTTTCAGAGTTTAACTGATCCAATCATCGGACAAATAATTATTCCCCGATCTTGTGAGCGCTATCTTACATATTTGGTCGAATTAATCTACTATCATTCCTTTTGAAACTGGATCATTTGGTTTCACTGGTTTATCTTCAATTACTCGCGCTTACTCTAACGATTCATTGACATACAGAAGCGGGTGCTACATACCATTGCTTCGGTGACTCTCACACAACATTACATTTCAGCGTTACAGTCCAACGTCCGCCATACTTGAGTTAAGCATGGATACGATGAGAGAACACTGAAATACGAGGTGTTTGGCTCGGCGGTGTACCGCGGCAGGGTCCTCGCATATCTTGTGTCGCACCACGTTTTAGCCGTGATCCAATCCTTCGCCATCGTTAGGTTAGGATGCGTCCAGTGTTGTTCTCACGTCTATTCTTGGTCGCAGCTGTGTCGACCACCACGCGCCTTGGCATGCAGGTGATGTCCGAGCTGGCGACATGGTCCCTTGTCATGTTGAGTTGATTTGGTTTAAAAGTCAACGTCGCCCTCTGGATTTTTGCAACTACCCCGGAGCTCGTGTATCTGCACAAGCAATCAGAACAACCTTACAACACCGCACTTCACCACCACCAAAAATGCAGTTCACCCTCCTGGCCCTACTTGGCCTTGCCTCCCTAGCCACAGCAACCGCCCCCCTCCAACCCTGGCAAGTCTCCCGTCTCGGCACCTTCAGCCCCTCCGGCCGTCCGAACAGCACCACCACCAGCGTCCTCAATACGACCATCTCCGACCCCAACGACGCCGTCGTACCCGCGGCCATCTGCGTCGCCACTTTCGAAGCATTCGAGCCGTACCCATACGGTGACGTAGTATACAAATGCTCAGAGGTGCCTGGTCAGCTGTGGAGCCTTCGCATTCTGGAGGCCAACAACGGTAATCCCTCGTCGCCGACGACGAATTTTCGATTGGAGTTTACGCAGAATAAGGGGGCAGAGGGGGGCGTGTTTGTGGGGACGGAGAGCTTTCATGTTGGGGACAATATGAGTGGCGTGTGTGGGGGGAGTGGGGTGTGTTCTTGGGGGTTGAAGGCGGAACGTGTGCCGGTTTTGGTGAAGCAGGAGTTGGTTACGATGGGTGTATGAGTGGGCGGGAGGAGTGTATTATCGAAAAAAGATGAGTTGTGAGAGGACAGGATATCGCGATGTTGGCTCTATTCTGTCCAATATATTTGATATTGATGATTCAGGGTGAATGTTCGAAACATTACTCAATTCATCATCAACGGGCGAAGCCTGCCTTGAAATCACATCGAATTGCTAGGAACTAAAAGCTGATCTCAAAACGTTAGATCTACTTTACACGACGCCCTTACAGCTGTAAGATCTATCAACGTTTAGTAAGCCGGCAAAGTCGCTTCGGCTTGGTCCGGTTAGCAACATGGATAATCTTGGTGGGAGAAGTGGAGTTCTTGTCGAACGAATGGGGGTCTCGATGATAACCCAAGAGGCAACTTACGGCCTTGGGCTTATTTGAGGGCGATTGTTCTCCCTGTATGGCGTTCTAGAAGGCCACTCATGTTGCCGGCTCCGCTGGATGTATCTCATTTTACTCCTCAAACTTTCGATCCCCGTTAAGAAAAAAAAAGAAAAAAGAAAAACAGAAACAGTTTCCAGCTCCAATAAAGCGGTTGGTCTTGAATTTCACAGGAGTCAGCAGTGAAAGAGAAGTCACGGGGTCACCCGCCCGACCGGTCCGGGAGCCGACCGCATAATAAGATCACATTTGCATAAGCCCCTG